CTGATTCAAAGACTATATACTGTTTCTCCTGTTTAAATATTTTATATAACAGATAGAATTCTTAAAATTAATTGATTAGTTGCTGCATATGATACCACACAGAAATAACATCTATGCTACACAGTTTAGGCAGACGAAACAAAAGTGGCATTTGAAAAGGAGTAACGCATAAAGTATGCATAATGGAAAACTAACTTCTTTAAAATATCTAGAAATCTCTACTATTTGGAGATGAAAGTAATACTATTAAATTGGCTGAAAGGAAAATTACTATTGACTGTGAAGACAGGTTGCATGGTCTATGGCTTGTAATGTTACTGTACAGTAGATTGAAGTTTCAAAATAGTATTACTCTTCTTTAAAGAGATAGACACAGCTAAATTAGGTGCTGCTTGCTGCAGTGAGGATCAAATGCAAAAAGAATCATATTTCATCAGACCTAGTCAACACCAGGAAAATAAATAGAAATATAAGAGGTATGCAGGCAATGATTCATTTTGATAATCTGGCCCAAGAGAGACACATAGAGACAGCACACAGATCTAAGCTTCTAGCAAAAGACAAATAGGACACAGAGGGTGGGAATTGGGATGACAGTATAGCAGAGGTCACATCGATTTTCAGCAGCAGTTTTCACACAGATGAGATAACCCTGGACTCTATTTGGCCCATTGTTCATATCCTACCTGTCCCACAAGCAATAAATTTCCTAGTCCCAGGAAAAGGGCAGTAAAGAAGAAGGATTCTACTTATGACTTCTTATGATTAAGTTTTTGTGCTAACCAAACATGCTTTGCAGACCAAGGTCACATTGCATGTTAAAGTCTGTAATAGCTGAAAACTAGTAGAAGCATATTATGTTTTAGTGTATATGGGTGGAAACTGTCAAACCATTTATCATTTTTTTCTGATTGAAATCACACACTGCAAAGATGAATGATAAATGCATTAGAAATCTATTTCAATCCTGTAATAGGTCTTCACATCTGAATGGTGTCTACATTTTGTCCACATGCCGAATAAGTGCACAGTTAGGCAGAAATTTATTGCCCAGGGTTGAGAAATCCTAATTGGCAAAGCAATTAAAATGGGCAAGTGCTAGAAGTGTATTTTGTGGATTAAATAAGTGCATCTCTTCATAGTAAAAGGAGAAAGGTTTTGATTGAAGCATGCTGATTTTCAAGCCTACTAAAGAGGTGCATGTTAAAAGCTGAATTCACGCACAAAACACAATAGAATAAACAAGACATCAAGCTAGGACAACTACTATTTAACCAAGGACACAAACAACCTTTCTATTTATTGAGGCAAAGGGAAGACTGCTTTTACTGAGTCCGTTTTTTAATCCTGCCATACTTCATAATAGCATTCAGGAATCTATTTAGAGGGCAGTCTTTTTATTTTAATTTCTAGCTGGGGTTCTGATGAATAGACATAGAGGTAAGCAAGAATTATATCGCAGCAGAGAGAAATATACAGTAAATACTAAGAATGAATGGAATATTACCCATGGAAATTGCATTGAAGGCTACTAGAAAGTTTGTTCTTGATTCAGCAAACTGCTGTATTTCATCTTCTGTCTCCTTAAGCATGGGAAATAAGGATTGGAAAGTGAAACTCCAGCCTAAACACAAAAATCAGGATTGGGAATAGAAGATGCATGACAGCACAAATAAAATTGGCCAGCAATTTTATTAACTAGAGGGTTTGTGCTTTTCTATTCTAAAAGCTTTCCTTTAATATTATTAGATATGCATCTTGTATATTCAATATGTCACCTTCATTTTACACAGGCTAGCAGAAAGCAGGGTAGAGCTGCACTTTGTAGACTAACTAAATCAGAGATGTGCAAGCTTTTGTACTAATGAGTTACAAGCAAACCATTTAAAGCTACTATTTATAAATATTTAAATATTCATAAGCTTACCAGGTTGCCTTCCCCCCATTTTGTGCCTGTTTTTCTATAAATATGTAGAATCCCTGCCTCAAAGCATTTAGCATTTAGGAGATAAGATATAACATATGGATGAGACAAACAAGTGGGTCTAGATAGAGAAAGCAGGGTGAAAAACCTAATCGTGTATGTATAGTTCCTAAGCTTTCCATATTCTTATCACAAACTGCACGACATAATGGGTTTCTTTAAATGTGGATTGAGGATATAATTTAAAAAACCCAAACATTTTTTTTAATGAATCAACAGGAATGAACTAAAACTTGTCACTTCTGAATATATTAGTTTCACTTTCAAAAACATTTTAAAAATTAAGTAAAATTGGCGTTTATAGTAGGATCAAACCTTATTGTATTCTATACTTGACTCTATAATATGTTAAGATGTCAGTAAGTATGTGAGGTTGTAGGAAATCATGACTGACTGTATCACAATGACTAGTCCTATAACACTTGTTGCTCTGTGTTAAAATCATGTTTCTAATAAAATGTCATGACTCCAAACAGTTCTTTTTAGGGGTCAGGAAGGCTCAGCTGGGTTTTCTGGGTTTTTGGCTTTTCTCTGAAACATCAGAGTAGCCACAGCTAGAGATGGGAGACTGTATGGGATGACTAGTGCTGTGTGAAGCAATACAGAGACTCCATTCAACTCTGTGGTCCCATGCTCATGATTTTCCTGGTTACTCCATTTGGGCATCACAAAAGAACCATCCCCTGGCTCAGATTATGAGGGACCTTGCTTTCCTCTGGGAACCTGGTTCACCAGCAGCAATCATTCTGGCATATCTGTTAATCACTTCTCTATAGCTGCAAAGGTTTGGACTCTGGTGCCAGATTGGTATTCTTTGCCTGTGGCATGCTAGTTAGGGTATTCAAATGAACCCACAGAAGTTAAGCAGCACAGTTTAAGAGGCTGGAAATCCTCTGTACAAGTGTTTATTTGGCCAGCTGCCAGTTATGCAGGCAGACTGGGTTGCTGATGGCACACAGCCAGGGAACCCAAAAGCACACGTCCTACTGTGCTTTTCAGGCTCCGCAGTCTACCTGGAGACAGTTGACATCACTGGAGGGGAAGGGTCATGATTTGATTGGCTGACTCATGTCCTCCATCTCCACAATACACCCTTCTTCCCTCCTGCCCAGGTGGCAGATGGTCAGACAGCAAACCCAGATTGTACCTGCTGTCTTTTCAAAAATGAAAATTTCCCTTCCAGCACCCCAT